CAGCTCCTGGCTCTGGCACATGGCACTGGCACAGGGCAGGCTGCCCTCCCTGGCTGCTCTGGGTGTGCTGTGGCTCTCCCAGTGGTGGCTGGTGCCGTGGAGTGCCTGGTGTGGGAGCTGATGGCTCCAGTGTTACACAGCAGAGCACAGCCCCTTCCTGCAGCAGCACCAGATGCTTTCCCTGCAGTTCAAGTTTTCCCATCTCATTCATTTTAGAGATTAATTAAAGTGATTCCCCTCCTTCTCTCCCAACCAACCTCCCTCCCTCTCTTTTCCCTGTTCCATACAGCTGCACATGGATTTTAGGGTCATGCTTGTTTACATCCATTATATTTACGTTAATGGATGTTTGTTTTAGGGAAAACAGCAGAAATCCCATAAAAACAAATATTTGTGTCCCACAACTGGTCCTGCAGCCCCACTGGGGTGGGGCCTCCCTGGGCAGCCCGTCCTGCACCCTGGCAGCAGGTCTGCATGGAGAGCTCTGCTGCAGCGTCTTTTGGGGGCTGCTGAGAAGTGACCCCCGGTGCTTAGGGGGTATTTGGGTGGGTGTTCCACACATCCCTGGGTCCTGTGCTGGGTGGTGGCAGCCAGGTCAGCTGCATGTGTTTGCCAGGGATAATCCCCCATCCTGGTGCAGGGATGCTGCTAAACTGCCTTTGATGGGGCAGGCGGTGGGTTCGTTCTTTCATCAGGAGTTTGGAGGAGGGAGAGTGTTAAGAAGAAGAAAGAGAGAGAGGAGGAGGAACGATAATTATTTTTTCCAGTGGCTCTGAGCTGCTGGATGCCTTTAAAGTTGCCTTTGTGTTCCTGTGGGTCAGGCCGGGCAGAGCCTGGCCCGGAGCCGCGTGGCGCAGCCGCCTTTGTCGGTGGGGCCGCGGTCTCGGTTATTAACGGGGATGTGGAGACCCAGAACCTCAGATCTTCCGTGTGGCTGGTGGGAGAAATGTGCAGGGCTGCCTTATCACGCTCATTTAACTGGTTAATACATCTTCAGAGCAAATAATGCAGGCTGGGGGTGAACTGCTTAACCAACCTCATTACTATTGTGCATTTAGCAGCTTGGAGAAAGATAATACCTTTCAGGTTTGACCCAATTTTAGTTTTTGTTGTCATAACCATGGAAAATCGACCTTCAGAGACCCTCAGCAGTGAGCCTGAATAGGAAGTGATTTACAGCAAAAGTGCTGTGTGGAATGCTTAATGCACTTGTGCAGGAAAACAAGACTGCAAGCAGCTGCTGGCATCCCTTTGCCACCGCCAGGGCTGCCCCGGCTGCTGGCACACTGTCCCTGCTGCGGGGGCTGCTGGCACTGCCCTGCCCGTGGGCACGCCGTCCGTGTGGGATGAGCCCCGGGCTGGCACAGCTGTCCTGGGGCCGCGCTCGCCTGCACAGTGCTGCGATCCCTCACTGCAGTGCCAGCGCTCCTCGGGTCAGCTGGAGCAGGGCTGGCCTGGGCACCACTGTGGCCACGGCCGGAGCTGCTCGCTGCAGTGGTCAGGGACCCCGTGGTCAGTGTGCACCCCATGGGCAGCGTGCACCCCACAGTCCCCGTGCACCCCTGAGCACCTCTTGGCCCGGGTGTGCTCAGCCTGGCCCAGTGTGCTCGCTGATTTTGGCCTTGGCCAGCCTCTCCCACCACGCCAGCCTGTGGCTTTTCTGCTGGTGCCCTTCACCACCCAGGCTGTGCCGTGGGAGTGGTGCCAGCCCTGCTGCCCCAGTGCCAGCCCTGCTGCCCCGGTGCCAGCCCTGCCACCCTGGTGACAGCCCTGGTGCCAGCCCTGCCGCGGCGCCAGCAGCGTTCCCACGGGTGAGATGTCACCCACACCCGTGGAGGTGGTTCCCATAGCTCTGGTTTTGTCTGGGGCAGGCAGAGACTTCCTCAGCTCCAGCAGTGGGGGTGCGTGGGACCTTCCTCTTGCTCCTGTGAGGAGGAGGGTGGCAGGGGGATGACAAGCCTTCCTCCCCTTTCCCTGAGGCAGCTGCAAGTGTGGCTCTGCCACCCAAGCCTGTCTCTGTGGTGCTGCTGCTGTGGTGTGTGGGTGGTCCCTGTGGCACGGGATTACGGCTGACAGCAGTGCCTGGGGCTGGGGGAGTGCTGGGAGCGGCTGATGCCCACGGGAGTGGGTGATGCCCGTGGGCTACAGGTGATGGCTGTGGGTTCCAGGCTCCCCCAGCACACCCCTGGGGCCCAAGGAGCACTGGAAGCAGATGGTGCCCATGGCATGCAGGCTTGCCCAGCCCAGCAAGGGGCTCTGCTCACTCCTGGGAGCTGTAGGAGGAGCGGGTCTGTCCAGCCAGGGGGGCTGTGGGGCTGTGGCAGTGGGGGCGTGCTCTCCTCCCTCCCCTCCCCAGGGCTGTGTTGGGGTGGGGGCACGACGAGGGCAGGCAATCACTGTAATTCTGATGTTGGAAGGAGAAGCTGCTCCCTCAGCGCAGGAGTTGAAACTCTTCAGCCTTCCTCAGTGTCACCTCCATGGCCATGGATACCTCCAGGTGTGACGTGAGACCCGGGGAAAAAAACATCTTCTGTTTAGCATCAAAATCCTATTAGTGAGCGCCGTGTTCTGCTGCACAGCTATCAGCTGTGGTGCAGATAAGTGGGAAATAGCTGCAGGTCGGGCTGGAGCAGGAGCTGTATCTGGGGCTGCACAGGTGCCGAGTGCTGCTTCAGCGAGTTTGCTGCTGGAAGAAAATTCCTCTCCCCGCGCCTCTGCAATCTAGGGAAAAGCACTGCGGGCACCTGTCCCCCAGGCTCCTGCTGCCCCCCAGCCCTGCCTGCTGAGGGGCATTTCTGTGGCACCTCACTGCCACGGTGGGGTCTGACAGGAGGCACTGGGCTGGGGCCAGGAGCAGCGTCCTGGGAGTGTGGAGGCAGCGGCAGAGGCTCAGCCTCCTGAAAATGAGCCTCCTGAAAATGAGCCTTGGTTCTGCTTTCTGCAGCGGCCGCCAGGCTGGCCCAGGGATTGCAGATGCTGTGGGCAGCTGCATCATATTCCCATCTCCTCCCTGAGGTGCTGCTGGCTTTGATAAAACCTCTCAGCCTTGCAGGGGTTGGCTTGTTGATCTAATCGCTGTGCTTTAGTGTGCAGTAAAAGCCCAGTGGCTCCTGGGGGAGATGTCCCATAGGGATCTGCAATTCACTTTCTGTCCCTCCTGGGGAAGGAACTCTTTCCCAGTGGCAGGGTTCTGCAGGGATGCTGCTGATGGTGAGGGATGCTGCTGGGCCCCCAACACCGGTGGGGAACGTGCCAGCCTCTGTCCTGCACTCACATGGCTTTGCTTTTGGAAACAGAAAGTGCTGAAAAAATCCTGCCGTGTTCAGTTTGTTTTAGTGATGCAATTGGGTTTTCCCTGTGTTTGTCTTGTCCTGCACTTGCTGCACAGGATTGGAGGGGTTCAGTGTGGGGCAAACACCACTGTGTGAGTCCCCTCTGAGCCCCCAGCTCCAGCGTGGTTCTGGTCACTCACAAACCACAGGGAGGGACGAGGCACTGGTGGCAGAGCCTGTGGAAAGGGACAGCCAAGGGGCATTTCGGGGACACCAAGGGAGGTTAGGGGACTGGCTGTGACAGACCAGCTTTAAAGAGGCTGGGATGGAAGGGCTGGGGAGCGACGCTACTGAGCTGTAGCTGTGCCTGCTGATGAGGAGCAGAGCCTAATGAGCAGGACTAATGAAGCAGGAGGGGAATTCCAGTGAGTCTGGGGAGTGCCTGCAACGTTCACTGTATCTTTGTGGGTTCTCTGTGGTCTGTCCCCAAACCAGTGACGGTGCCCATCGCAGGGATGGTGCCCACTCCCAGCAGCATGCTTGGTGTGCTGGGTGACTGACTGCAGGTGCCAGTCCCAGAGTGGGTGCCTCCAGTCTGCTCCTGGGGCCAGCATCCAAGCGCCTCTGTAGGCTGCCTCTTGGATTTTTACTGGCTCTGCACTGCTGGGAAGCCCATCCCTGTGTGCTGGGGTTATTGGAACATACTGGCATGGTGTTTAGGAGACACTGGTGGCTTCACACAGCCCTGGCAGCAGCCTGCCCCAGGGATTGCAGCAGAGCCAGCCCTGAGGGGGGCCTGGCTCCCTTCCCACCTCCCTTTTGGAGGTGCCTGGTTCAGAATCAGGAGGGGATTTGCAGCCACACCAATGGGCAGGTCTTGTCTTCCTCTTCTCCTGGGTTTTTAGTGAGCCAACCTTGGAGGACCTTGAGTGCCATTCCTGTAGCTCTGCTGTGACTTATCTCCCAGCTTCTGCCCCTGTTCCGCCGAGGGGATAAATCTCAGCTCCCGGTGTGCAGCCAATGCTCTGAGCCCATCCCACAGCAGGGTGCAGGCATCGTAACTCATGGCACCAGGGGGGCTGCCTGGCCGAGGTGCCAGGGAATGTCACAGCTCTGTGCTGTGGATGATGGGCTGATGGATGTGCTGCCCGGGGGAACAGGGAAAAAGTCCCATTACAATGGGGGACAAGCTGTTAAATTATCTCCTGTTCAGCCTGGGTCGGGGAAAATCAAACTGGAGCTGCCGGTGGCCTCTAGAGAGCCTTCGGGGGAGCAGGTGGGTTGGGGACTTTATTCCTTTAGGAAGAAGTCTTTGCCTTTCCTTGCCTCCATCCCATGCACTGGTCAGAGGCCAGGGCTGGTGCTCTCAGGGAGGCAGGACCAGCCTCAGCATTTTCTGTCAGTGCAGAGACTGGGACGTGTCCCACTGGGGACGATAAACTGGGACCTGCTGCGTGCCCCATGCAGCCAAACCCCGTTCCCTGGGCTGAACATGCTTCCCTCTCCCCTGCCCTTGCCACTGGGCAGGGTCCTGCCTCTGCCCATGTCAGGGGCTGCTCCAGAGCTGCTCCCAGCTGTGATAATTGTGCTGTTGAAGGAGTGGGCCAGGCGCGTGCGAGTCCCCGGGGCCATGGCGCTCCGAGGCGCCGAGCTCCGCCGCGTCCTCCTCCGTTATTAGCGCGGTGCCTACACAGGGACAGCACTGGAGCCTCTCCCTCTCTCTTCCAGGCTGAGAAGCTGCTGCTGTGAGATCCTGACGGCTCTTCCTGACGGCGTGGAGGGCTGAACACGAGTGTGAGCTCCACCTGCCACCACACCTGAGGCACCTGCTCTTGCTCTGCAGGTATGTTGTTTCCACCCAGCAGTCCTGGTAAGGGAGGGCATGGGGATATTTTTTGGGTGAGGATGAAGATGCTGCTTCCCATGGCTGTGCCTGGGGCAGCAGCTCACAGTCAGCCCACCAGGGACTTTGCACCAGCCCTGGGTACAGATCGTGTGTGTCCAGACTCTTGTGTGCTGACCTGGCAAAGGGGAACGTTGCTGGGACAAGCCACGTCTGCTCTAATCCTCGTGGGATATGGCGTGGGGGGTCTGGGATGCATTGGTCAGTCCCAGCCGTCTCCCCCCTGCTGGCTGCAGGAGCGTGGAGGTCCTGGAGCGTGTGGGACGTTGGTAGTGCCCTGATGGGAAGGGGCTGCGTGCCCATGATGCACACACAGCCCTGCACGTCGCAGCCCGGCTGGACCCGCCGAGACCCGGCTCCTGGCGCTGACTGTGCTGCAAACTCCCCTCAGGGCTGTGTGCAGCTCGTGCTCTGGGCTGAACCCGTCTCCGTCAGGTCACGTTACACGGACTGGAACCCCCTCGTGCTGACACCAGTCTGCCCTGGGAACTCACACCAGCTTGAGGAGGAGTTAAAATTCAAAACTCCTGCAGGCAGTGGGACTCTCTCCTCCAGACAAGGCATTGTCCCTGTTTGTTCCCAGCACTGCAAGCACCCACAGGTTCAGCAGGTGCTCAGAGAATCATGGCCATGCTGTGGCAGCCATGGTGCCCAGGGACTGGGCTCTCCTTGGGGCTGTTCTGCCACAGAATTTGTCTTCCAGTGCCCTCTCCACCAACTGCTGTGCTGGGGGGACCCCCAGAGCTGGGACTGCTCTTCTCCTAGCTGGCAGTAGCCAAGGGGAGTGCCTGGGCAGGAGGAGTGCCCGTGGGGCCGTGCAGCACCAGCAGGGCTCACAGTGTGAGAGCTGTGTGTGCTCCCCTTGCAGCACTGCTCACTCCACACTGGCTCGTCTGCTCTGCCCCAGCCCCAGGTGCCTGCTTGGGAATCAAGAAATGAGAGCTTGAAGCTTCTCATCCCTTACTGGGGTACAGGTCGTCCAGAATGTGGGATTAGAGTGGCCGTGCAGATGGATTCCCCAGCTGCATTAATCAGTTCAGAGGCAGCAAAGGCAGCTGAGCTCTGTGCATCACCTTGAAGCTCTTTTTTTTTGTCTTTAGCAAACTTTGGGTGGATGTTATTGCTCATGAAAGCAAGGGGCTGATCATGCTGGGAAGGAGCAGGCGTAGTGTGGGCTGGCACTATTATGCAAGCTTCCCACATGCCGCTCTGCCAGTGCGCTCCGTTCCAGAACAACAGCACGCGTCCGTGTGCCAGCCCCGAGCCCACCCCCGGGTCTGCCGGAGCACCGTGCTCCCGTCGTGCCCACGTCGTCCTCACCGTGGCCCTCCTGTGCCCGCTCAACGCCGAGCCAGCCACCCCACGGGTGGGCAGTTCTGGGTGAAGGGTGCCCGCTCCTGCCCGGCCCCACGGCACTGTGCAGCCAGCTGTTGTGAGCATCCTGGCCAGAGTGGGAGCGCCGGGAGTTTCTGCCAGGACTTTTTGCTGCACTGGGGCATGTCTGGCTCTGGGGCTGGGACTGTGCTGCTTGTCAGGGGATGGCAGACAGGGTGTCACCCTGGCCGCAGTGCGCATCGTGCCCCTGCATTGGAAGGGCTGTGCCTTGTCTGTGGGGTCAGTGCAGCCATTGCTGCCAGCACCTGCTCTGGGCACCAGGGCAGAAGTGGGCTCCCTGGAGCTCGGGCCACCAAGCCTCTCCCTATCCAGCTTTTCTCCCTGCTGCTGTCCTCCTCCTCTCCTGGAGCCTAGCTGGGCCCGTGTGAGGCTCGGGGCTGCTGGCTGTGGGGCTTGTGGGTGCTGGTGCCAAGCTTGGGGCTCACTGGGCTGGTGGGGAGCAGCCTGGAGCCAGTGCAGAGCCCCTGCAGCGACTCTCCCCATCATCCCCAAGCCTGCTGGAGCACCCCCGGGAGGAGAGTGCTCCTTCAAGGAAGACTTGGAGATGAGCAATGGAAAACATCTGACAGGGGAGCCCTTGAGGCGCTTTTGTTCCAGCGAGTGGGAGTGTGAGATCCGCTCAGACATGAAAGGCTGCGCGGCTCCGTCCCCAAAGTCACGGCGAAGGGAGGACGGGGGGTGTGCGGCTGCACCGGGAGGTCATCCCGGGAACGACTGGCACCGGGATCCCCGCTCCCTCCCTCCCTCCCTCCCCAGCAACTAAATTAGGTCACACTTGAAAGTCAGTTTCTTGGCTGTGGATTTAATTTAGCTTTTCCAGGCTAGTTATCATATAATAAATTCCAGGAGATTTATAGAAAACATGCCCAGGGAGGCTTAGCCAGTGTGTAACAAGATTTGTGCCTCTTTCCTGCTGTTGAGCAGCTCTGGCGAGCGCGGCGCTGCCGGCAGATGTGCAGGCAGGGCTGGCAGCCCCGTGGGAGCTCCCAGGGAGACAGGGCAGCCCCAGAAATGGGGTGGGGGCACCACCCCACAGCTCTCTGGGGAACGGGAGGGTCCCAAACGCAGCTGTCCTCTGCCCTGGCTCCCCACCAGCCATAAACCACCCAGAGCAGGTGCGTTCCCTGGCCGTTCATCACCTGTCCTCTCGCCGTGGCTCAGCGTGGGCAATGCCCAGCAGGAGCCCATCCCAGCGGTGCCAGTGCGTGCCCAGAGGTGGTGAGCAGTCAGAGAGGAGAGACTGGGGTCTCCCGGTGCCTTTCTGCTCGAGGGGTGACGGTGTGTGGGACGTCCCTGCTGGGGGTACCTTGTACCCTCGCTGCCCTGGCTCCCGGAGCATGGGGGCCATTCGGCGGAGCTGAAATCGGCGTCTCTTGGCTCTCCCCAGTGCTGGGGCGGGCTTTCCACCACGCCGGGAGAGGCTGAGCGGGGAAAGGCGCTGGAATCCGGAGGGATTTGTGGCAATGGCAGCACACGGCAGCGCACGGGAGCCGGCGGCTCGGCGCGGAGGGCACTGCCAGCGCTCCGGCTCCGCTCCCTGCTAACGCCGCCCAATTAGTGTCTTATTAGTCACTCCGTGTGTTAAGGCATTAGAAACAATTAAGGGTGAGAAGAGTTTCCAGATGTAGCGGCAAGCGCCGGAGCTGGGAGCTGGCAGCTCCGCTGGCTGCTCCCATATGGAAGGGATCTTGCACACAGTGGGACTCGCTGCGGGGCCATGGGGCCAGCGTGGCAGGGTCCGGGGGCCGTTGGGGTGCAGGGAGCTCCTTCTGGGCAGCCCTGGGGGCAGTGCCCACCTGGAGCCACAGCCAGGGCTGGTGGATGGAGGAAGTAGCTGCTGAGATGCCCGTGGATGAGGGGCACAGACGGGCGTGCTCCCTGGGATTGGGTTTGCTCAAATCAAGTATTTATTTACTGCTGCAGCTGGGTGTGAGTCAGTCCCCCCATGCCCCCAGCCGGTGCTGGCAGCCCTGTGCCGTCCTGGCGAGACACCGGGGCTGGGGAAGTGCCTGGCTGTGAGCACAGGACATCTGGGATGTGGCATGTGGGGGACAACTGCTGCGACAGAGACGACGCTGTGTTGGGACACTTTTAGGTGCGGGAGAAGTAGCACAAGCAGAGACAAATGTGACTTCAGAGCCCAAATGCAAGTGACTTCAGCTCCCCAGAAATAGTACCTGGGCAGTGCAGGGGGAGGGAACCTGGAGCTGCAGTTCCTGGGGATGTTGGGGTGCTCCTGTGACTTTTTCCCCTCATGCAAGGTGGGCTACACTCCCACCATTGCCCCCCACCCCATGGAACTGGTGAGGCCACCAGCCAGGGGTCACAGAGGTGACTGGCTCTGGCCAGTACAGGCAGTCTCTCCCCAGCACCAAACATCTCACCCTGTGACGAGGACTCTGGGAGGGTTCCCTGTCAGCTGCTGGATCCCTTGGGTGCCCTCGTGGTGTGGAGGGTGTGGGGGACATCAGTGGACATTGATGCTGTGGTCACCCCTCATGAGCTGAGGCTGAGTGAACACCGTGAGATGCTGGTGTGCAGCAGGATGGTGGAGAGGGGCACAGTGGCCTTCAGTGCATTGAAATAATTTCTGTGCTGCTCTCCCCAGGGCGAGGAGCAGTGCGTGGACAGATGGTGTTTTTGAGTGACCTTGGAGCTCTGAGCCGTTCCCTCGGCTGCTGAGTAACGGTGGGAGCCGCGGGAAGCGGCAGCGGTGCCACAACCTGCTCAGGCCGGCAGGAGCGTGGCAGGGAGCCAGGGCTGCGAGGGATGTGGGGTGAACCAGGGGATGGAGCCAGAGCCCGACAGCCCTAACGTGAGGGCTGCGGGGAAATTCGCTGTGCACTGCGATCCCCGGCTCCCCGTGGCTGTGGGAGGTGTGTGGTGCACGCAGTGAGGCTGCTCCGGGCTCCAGCCGCTCCTCCAGCCCGTGTTCACCTCGACAGTGGGATCACTCCTCCCTGTGCTTTTCCTTGGGAAGGGCCTGAGTTGTCTCCAGGAGCTGAGGCAGCAGTGCCTGCAGCTGGCACAGAGAGCACCGGGGAGTCCTTGTTGTGCCCAGGAGGGCAGCAGGTAGAAAGGCTTCTGCCGTGTGAAGTTTCTTTCAGAGCTGTGATCCAGGGCTGTGGTCCTGAGGGAACAGATCCACGGGAAGGGAAAATTGCACTGCAAGGTGCAGCTTTGCTGTCGAAGAGTCACCCTGGGCAGGCTCAGCTCCTCTGGCACCCTTGCAGCCTCCTACGAACTCCGTGCGGGCTGCAGCACCGAGAGGTGTCCTAAATTGGGGAAGGAACAAGGAGCTCTTGGCACTCGCCTGGAGCATCATTTGCATTCCGGCGCAGCTCCCGGCTGCGAGGGAGGCGGGGGCCCGGCAGCCGCGGGGTGAGGAGCGGGGCCGCTCGCCAGCTCCGGCTGTCGGAGCATCCCGTGGGACCGCTGCGGAGGGGGTTGTGACTTGGGGATCACCGTGCACCAGGTTCCTTGTTTTCGTTCTTCTCTCACTGAACTTTGTGTCCAAGTTCTCTGTCCAAGATTTGTGCCTTTGC